CATAATATTCTTTCATAAATATAAACTTAAAAATCATGGTATTAAAAATTCTAACTTAGTTAGGTTTAGAAGTTATTTAACAAACAAGAAACAGTATATCTCATTTAATAATGGAACTGGGGTGTCCCGCAACAATCAATCCTTGGGCACTCTTATTTCTCATTTATTTAAATGACTTTCTTTTTAAATAAATTTAAATAAATTTTCAAATATCGTAAATTCAATTCTATTTGCAGACGATACTAATTTGTTTTATTATTTAAAAAAAAAATTAATATTTTATTTGAAACAGTTAACAAAAAGCTTGCAAAACGAATGGTTTATAGCAAATAAGTTATCTGTAAATATAAAAAAAGCAAAATATAATCTCTTCGATCTTCTTCATAAAAAAAACTTTAAAACTCTTTGTTAATAACACTTGTATCAGAAGAGAAAGAAAAGAAAGAAAGAGTTTATTGTTGTTTAGGTATTGTTTTAAAAAAAAGAGTTCATTGTTGTTTTAGAATGTTTTAGATGAAAATGTGATGTAAAGGTAGCCCATAAATATAATACAAAATAAAATTTCAAAAAATATTGGGCTACTATACAGAAAAGAAAATTAAACTAGGATTTGATGCTTATGATATTTTTTTATTCAATCACAATATAATTCTACCTTAGCTTACCTACCAAGCAACCTTTATATATATAAACAATAATTTAAATGTTTTTAATGTCTTTATTATAAATATCTATCAAAGGAGATATTTATAATAAAAGTAGTATTGCCTCATCAACTAATTCGATTAAAAATCTAAAATCTGCTTTAACGGAACATTGCTTTACATATTAATTTTAAAAAAGATAATCGATTTGAAATTGATTTTGGTAAAACGTATTTGACACGAAAAAAATTGGAAATGTTATCTCCTGATGAGTCAATTGTACTTTCAAATAATGTAGGAGCTTTTGACTAAATTTCCTAAATTAATTTTTAATTATAAGTCCTTTAAAACGCTGCACATTGAGTTAATTATATCCCTTTTAAAACAACATAGATATACTTAAACAGGTATTCAATCTAAATACCATTATTATGGCATGCTAAAAATGTTCTCTTTTTAATGTGTCGATTAGACAACTTCTGTCATGGGAAACAACATCATAGAGTGTTAAAACCAACCTCTCGAATAAAACTGAACTTCCAACTACGACTAAATTTTTCAACGCAACAATCGACAAGGGTGGAAGTAAAGTTAAACTATTTTTTTAAAATTGGAACGGATCACTATTTCTAGAGGATTAATGGTAGTTAAAGATTTAGCTTAAATGCATGAGGTAATAATGATTCTCTCATTGAAGGTACTTCAATAGTGGATTTATATCAAATATGGGTTCTTTCATGACCTGAACACAGAGAGTTAACATCATCTTCATTTTTTAATTCACATCTTTTTGGTTTTGAAGTTGGACTGCAGCTACCAAATTCTTGTTGTTTTAACTTGATTATTCAAATTTTTTGCAGCGATTGCTGGTGCCTTGTAAACTTACATATGACCAAGTCATGACAATGAGTTTCACTGTGAGTGTGACTGTCGGTAATACTTTCTTTAGTGCTGACCCGAGACAAGAGGCCATCTGTAGTACTACACATCTTGTAACATACTCATGCCATGAGATTTCCTTTGTAGTCTTCTCAAATGGTTTAAGAAGCTGAATAATTTTTTTAAGATGTTGGATTTCAGAATTTTGTAGCATGGGTGGAATATTCTTTGCATATTTTGAATAAAGAAAAGTAGTTTTTTTTGCTTTGTGTTCAGTAGATCAGCAAAGCTGCTTTAAATAATGTTTGTAGTAAAGTATTTTCTTTATCATCCAATAAACTTTTGGATCACTAGATTTAACACGTGGGCAAAACAATGTACAAAACAATAAAAAAAAAATGTTCATACCAATTAAGAACTATAAATAACATAATGTTAATATCAAGCAATTCACATATCAAGAATTTTTTTTTTAACTTTTTGTATATATATAAACTTACCTATGAAATGCAAAGTAATTACGAGGAAGCTTCTAGAAGAATTTATTGTACAAAGATCCCCAGTAAACCATATAAACGTACAAAGATCCCCAGTAAACCATAAAAAAACGTTGTTAAACTAAGTTATCTAATAAGAATTTGTTTTTCTCTTTAATACAACAGAAATACATTTTCTATAACCTTAAACAGTAAAAATTAACCATATAGTTAGTAATATCACTATTATTAGATTAAATTACTTTTTTCATAATCTACCGTATTTTTTTATGGAATTTTGTAACAAGAACAAACAACTTTTATCAAAGATTTGAAATTATTTCTTTCAACTGTCTTTGTGGCTAGGGTTTGGGAAAACCCGAGTTTTTTAGACCCGACAAGTCCGAGTCTAGCTTACGAATATTTATCGGGTCCGGGTTCGAGTCCGGGTCTAATACGTTGTTTTAACTCGCAATTTTAACAATAGCATGAAATGATTTTTTATTCTCACGCCCTTTTTAAAAAATGGATTTGGTGTATGTTATGGTTAATAAAATGACTATTATCCGGCTTATACCTTTATTATGATCTTAAACTACCAAATAAACTTGACATTACTTTAAAAATTTAGTATTTACAAACATAATTTATAATAAAATGCGTGCAAATATACTAGTAATAATAAACTCAACTAAATTAAATTACGTATAAGTGTTTAATACATACCAGAACAATTATTTTTTACTTAAAAAATAAAACTTTAAAAAAACTAATGCACTCAATGAGTTGTCCGATAATCTAGAACAAATTCTTGTACAGAAGTTAGATGCTACAGAAAATGTTCGTTCGGAATTTGTTGACGTTGGTTTTAACGCTTGATACAGTTTTTCTAAATATGCAGTTCTTTTTTTAGTTTTTGAAAACAATAAAAATTATTTTTTAATATAAGGAAATTCATCTCTGCAACTTGGCAAATTTGGACATTTCGCACTTTCTAATATTTTATGTAGTTCTTCTTCCAATGTTAAATCTTCTGAGTTTCCTGTAGTATTTTCGTTATTTTCAGTTGAATGTTCCTGTTCATAATGTGTGTTTTGCTGTTCTTTATCCCCATCAAATAATCTTTTCATTAAATCTGTAGTAAATGTTTGTATTTTCTTTGAAGGCATAGCACCATTTACAAGAAAATTTAATAGCTCTTCCAATTTTATTTCGTTAAAGAAGATCTTCTTTAACGATATAAAATAATTTTTAAAATCTAGATACCATTTCGAGCAATGAGTTCCAACAAGTTCTTACGTCTAACACTAGCTGAAGTTCATTTCCTAAAACTATTTTGACCTTTTCTTGCAATATATTATTTAGCACAGAAGAATTTTTAAAAAATTTAACAATTAAACGAGCACTTTTCATATTTTCTTCTATATTTCCTAAATTTGTTAATTCAACATGTTCGTACTCTTCGACGTCATCACCGCTCTCGTCAGAATAATAATTTTCATCTTGATTATCATTAATACCATCTTGACCATGGTCATAACCATCACCATCAATACCATCTTCATTTTGCAAGACGGCAATATTTTTCTTTTTATATAGTACATCACAAACAGCTAAGTGTATAGTGTGATTCAAACACTAATTATAGAGACTAGGAGACTCTTGTCCAAATTTTATCATTACACTTGCACCGTCGCCGGTTGAACCAACTACATGTTTTTTAAAATTAATATTATATGTGTTTAAATGTTGTTTTACTTTTTCAACTAACTGTACCGCTGTACACGAGTTATAAATTCTTACTAAACCGAGATTATACACTTCAGAGTCAATTCCATGCAAATTGATATTTAGATATTTCCGAATTTTCATAATCGTCCATTCATCAAGTGAAATGCTAAATCGTCGGCATTTAACTTTTTCTTGTAACAATTCTAATATTTCCAACTTCTTTTTTTCATAAAATTTATGAATTAAATTCATAACATCTCTTTCGGCTTTAGGAAGATTTAACTAAACTTTCACGAATAAAGCTAGACTTTGTAATCGCCCTAACTGATATACCATCAAAAGCGGCTATTTTAGCGACAATTTCTTTTAAAGGCTTTCTTTAAACTGAAACGAAAGTGTCCATAGTTTTAAATCGTTTTTGGTGGAATTTTCTCTTATTTCTTCTCGTGTTGGTAAAGAAATTCCATGTTTAACTTTTAAATGTTTAATCATTGATGAAGTATTTCCATCATTGTTTGATATTATTGTTGACCTACCGCATTTACCACTTTTCAAATCAGTACATTGGGTGAAATAGTCCCACACTTTTGAATTCTTCGGCATAATAGCGCTGTATAAATGTCACATTAAACGTATGATGTTCTACTTTTTTTCCTAAAATGAAGATATTAATCAACTATTTAATTAACAAATGAAATGTATTTTTTTTTTTAAATACGCGCTAAATGAATTAACTTATTAACTTTAATCTTTCTAATCAAAAACTTTTATATTAGCGAATGCTTTTAAAACAATCGCATATACAATAAACAGATTTGATTAGAAATTTATCAGGTTAGTGTCTATTCGGACATACATGGAAGCATAAATGAACTTGAATGTTCTCAAAACATCAAAAAAGCTGTGGTCTAAATTTCAAGCTAAAAAAAAGATGTGAATAAAGTGTGACGGCGTTCCGATGCGTACAGGCAAAATCATGAGATTCGCCGAGTCTTAAACCGGGTATCGAATCCGGGTATTTATCCACGGACTTGCCGAGTCCGAGTCCGGTTACCCGGAACCGAAAAACCCTATTTGTGGCATATTGTCTCTATAAATCATGTAAAAAAAACTCTAGGTAATTGTGTCTATATCAAACCTATATCAAACAGTTAAAGTTTTAAACTCTAGGTAATTGTGTCTATATCAAACCTATATCAAACAGTTTTAGCTATTTAATAGTAGTTAGAAATTGTTATTAATTTTAAAAATTTTAAAACATCATTACCTACATTCATAACTCATATGTTTTGGTGCAAGCTCTTTTATGGTTTACAGTCTTAAAAATCTCCTCAAAGCTCTTGATGATTTAGGTAACGTGACACTATCCTCTCTTGGTAAAAATCTAGTAATTGGTGATAAAGACGAGGATGCTTTCAATAAACAAGTTGATAATCCTTTCTCCTTTCAATTGTTGTTAATCCTTTCTCAGATTATTAAGGTGAACTACCTCTACAGTTTCTGGAGTTTGCGGTCACTTTCTAAAATAATGGAAAACAATTATTTGTTAATAAGTTTCTTGATTAAATAGTAGTTAGCTATTAGCGATCTTGAAACTTTTTTTTCGAAAATTGACAATCATGAATTATTTTTTTATATAAAAAACCAAATATAAAAAGATAGTTAGAATTGTCTACGTACTTTTCTCATAATACTTTTGAAGTTTAGACTTTTGCAAATGACACTTCTGATAATATTAATACGCTAATTTAATATTATTAGTCGAATTACGTCATTTTCTAGGCTTTTCTATTTTAAAGTAGTTTCTTGGCTTTTCTATACAGTTTTTTTTTTAATTTTGTTTACTAACAACGCGTATTACGGGTTGCTTACTGCTAGTACAAATAAAGCTTTTACAAAAGTAGCGATCTCGGAAGTAGCACTTGAGAAATCTTTTTTGATGAAATTTTATCTTTACTTACTAAATAAAACTTTAAAAACATGCTATGATAAATATATTCATGTTTTATTAAATAAATTAGTTTAATTATGGAAATGTTTGTTATTTATTGATATTTTTTCGTAAGTAGATGTTTCAATATGCTGCTTTAGACTTTTGCAGTTTTGCGTGACCAGATGGTTGATTAATAAAATTTACCTTTTATTTTTTATAACAAATTTTCTACTTGAAAACTGAAAACTCATACAGGCATTATAATAAAACAAACATACTGACAAAAAAATATAGCTTCATGACTGACTGTTTTGCAAAAACTCTGGATATACAAAACGTTTACCATCTTTCCCTGTCTTCTCCTAAAGATTCAATTGGAGATGTATATGATTTTTGCTGATTAACGACAAAAATAAGAAAAAACAAAAGTTTTCGTTTACTGACGTTTGCCGACTGACAATTTAAGGTCCAAAGTTGCGGACTATTTTTAAATAAAGTTAAATATATATATATATATATATATATATATATATATATATATATATATATATATATATATATATATATATATATATATATATATATATATATATATATATATATTATATATATATATATATTATATATATATATATATTATATATATATATATATATATATATATATATATATATATATATATATATATATATATATATATATATTATATATATATATATATATATATATATATATATATATATATATTATATATATATATATATATATATATATATATATATATATATATATATATATATATATATATATATATATATAAAGGCCAATTTTTCAATATTACAAGTTTTCGGGATTTAAGTTTAAATCCTCGCAGTCGGAAATACGTCATAATCTTTGCCGCGAACATCTACCATTTTAGTTAGAAGGAAAATAAACTTTCGTTATAAAACCAAAACATTGGCATAACATAAAAGTCTTTAAAATGCACAAGGGTTGTTGTGTCTTTAAGTGATATATATATATATATATATATATATATATATATATATATATATATATATATATATATTTTGTAAGATGGTTTTGGTGTTTTAAACGCACAAGTCAGACAACTTGTGTTTTCAAAACAACAAAACTAGAGCCTAATATAACTAATATAATGTCTTGTGAAAAACTTCCTGCATCTAGCCAAAGGCAAAATTTTTTTTTCATAATTACCAATAGCCTTAAAAGAAAATATTATAGGACTTTTTAATAAATAATGGCCATTCAGTTTAATCATTTTTCCAAGTATTGGCAAGAACTTGTGTAGACATCGGTTGATTCCAAGGATTGCAAATTTATTTATATACCTTTCTGCAGCGTTAAAATCTAATTTTTCAAAGTATTCGTAAACCGATATTTTTTTTAAACTCTTTTTCGTAATAATTGTCCTGCTTTAATAACTCAACTAATCATTTGTTTTCCCCCATCCAAGATGGTAACAACTTGCACTATTGTTATTTTGCATAATCACGTGACTTTCCGACTGCGAGGATAGGTTTAAATATAATTAAATTGCTAGGTTTTTTAATTTAAGTTAATAAATATATTATAATTATTTAAATTAAATAGATTTATATAGTAAAATATCTTTTCGTATTAGTTTTTCCTTATTTAAATACGTTTAGGTTGATTTTATTATTAACATCTAGTAGTTTTTTTTTTTATTTTGTTTATTTGATTTTCGTAGTTCACTTTAAATAACTTTTTCTTTTAAACAACTTAATATTTTAAATATAAAATTAGGAATATGACTATTTTTATACACATTTTTTTACCGTAGAGATTTCAGGCAAAAATCAAAAAATACCAATAGCAAGTTTCATCAAGATTTCATATACAAAAAATATATCTATTTATATATTCACATACCTGTATATCTATATATATATATATATATCTATAAATACATACATATATATATATATATATATATATATATATATATATATATATATATATTTATATATATATATATATATATATATATATATATATATATATATATATATATATATATATATATATATATATATATATATATATATATATGTATATATTTCACATATATCCACACAGATGCTGTATTATCTTTTAAAAGAAGACAAAGGGAAAAGAAAAAAAAAGAAATGTAGTTTATGTGTGTGTGTGTGAGTGTGTGTGTGTATATATATGTGAAATCTCTCTCTCTCTCTCTCTCTCTCTCTCTCTATATATATATATATATATATATATATATATATATATATATATATATATATATATATATATATATATATATATATATATATATATATATACACACACACACACAGATAAATTATCTTTTTAAAAGAAGACAAAGGGAAAAGAAAAAAAATCTTTTTTTTTCTTTTCCCTTTGTCTTCTTTTAAAAGATAATACAGCACCTTTGCGCTTTCCATTACTTAAAATCTTTTGTTCATTGTTATAAAAAATATTTATTACTGTCCATTAATATTTATATACTGACTAAATATTAATATTTATATACTGACTAAATGATCCTCACAAATAAAGCTGTGGTTCAAGTTATATTCATATAAAATATAATCGCTAACTTTTCTGATGTCAAGAATTTTTATTGTAAGTAAACTTTTTTTTACTGCATCAAGCATAGCAAAGCAAATAATAACATGATTTGCAAGCAATTTTGAGGGAGTTATGAGACCTCCTCTGGATAGTAGTTCAATATATTCTGTATTTAAATCAATGAGATCACTTTTTAGCAATAAAATACATAATTCACATTTAACTTTTTTGAGTAATTTCTGCATATATATTCAGCAATAAAAATAGCAACTTCTGTTATCATCTAAATCACATTCCTGAATATCATTGATAAAAAAATCAGAAATCGAATTTATATTTTACAACTGACTTGAAAGTTTTTAAATCTATTTTCCAAGTCAAAATTTTCTTTTAATAATGATCTCATTTGCAAAAATTTTTCAGAAGTTGTTACTTCACGTAATCCAACAAGAAATCTGCCACCACTCATTTGACGATACTCTGAAAAATGTCGCTCCAATGGATTACTTTGAAACAAGAGGTTAGAACATAGTTATATCCTTCAAATAGAAGATCTTCAATTAAACTAGAAGTACTTTGCAGTGTTACAATAAGGGCTTTAGAAATCTGAGCTGTAAGAGAATATCTTTCGGTGGAACTGTATTTCGAATTTTGCCACTGATCAATCCAGTGAGCAAATGCACGTAAAAATTGTGGCTTACCGTCCCCCATAACAGATGTATTTCCAAACTTATGATTAGAGTATTTAATTTTAGAATTAGATATTAACCACCATAAATTAACAAGTTTTAAAAATTCTGATGCTGAAAATTCATTAGGAAAATAACTTTGAATTGCTGCAGATGTAGTTTCATGGAATATATTTAATGCTAGGTTGACGTCTTGTTTATTGTTACCTTGATATAATGTCTTTTCTCCTAATTTTGATGCCTTTCTTAAGTTTGCTGATAGAGTTTCATCTTTTTCATGCACTCTATGAAGCAATCTCTAAAATATATCACCTGCAGAGACTTTTAAATTAAAAATGTAATCAGTGAACTGAAATGATGGGAAAATAAACTTTTCGGTACTAATCAAATTATTTCTTAAGTTTTTGAGCAAATGTACACTATCATACATCAAATAAATTATATGACCATTAAAAGTGATACAAAAATTTTCTTCTGGCTTCTCTGAACCATAAACGCTGAGTAATTTTAAATAAGCTGACACATTAGTTGGATGGTTATCAGCAATCAATGCACGAATGTTAAAACCAGCAGTTCTTAATGTATTTAAACTTTCTTCTATTTCATCTTTAAAAAAATCTCCAGTAAGACTAATTTCTGGGATAGCTTTAATAACATATGGTATTGATTTTTTAAGACCAACAATCATGAACACAATTATTCCTTTGTAAAGATTATTCTCAGTATCTTGACCAATTAATCTACCACTGTGGTATTCACAAGATTGCTGTAAATACATTTTATCAAAAATGAGAACACAATCATTGTTTATTTTTCCTTCATTTAATAACAGTTTTAATGATTTTATTGAATCGATTCCACCAGAAACTAACTTCTTTAGTAGTGACATTGATGGTAATGGGAGTTGTTTCAAAAGAAGTGAATAAGCCTGAAATGATGAATATCTTTGCATAAGTGCAAAACGTAATATTTGTGAAGAATATGGAGGACGACCTTTGGATTTGTAAAAAATTAAATTTGATAGTTCATTAACTAAACCATACGAATTTTCTTTAACAAGGTTGTGCATATAAGACACCAAATTATTTAAAATCGATAATTTAAAATCTTACAATTGTTAATTGTTCTAAACCATTTAGGGAGTGGAAGTGGAGAACTTTTGTAATGTAACTTTACGTGCAAATTGTTATTGATGCGTATTGATTTAATAAATGGAGTTGTGTCTACAAAAAATAAACGATAATATAAAACAAAACTTTCATATCTTTGAAAACTAAATCCATTTGGAGAGTTAGATTCATGAAGCATATCAATGTTTTTTATTTTATCCATTTCTTGAAATGTATGAATTTCATCTGGGATGGTAGAATGTCGGTCAGTTGGAGGTTTACGAAAAGTAGGAATTTTAGGTATTATAGAAGATGGAATAGAAATTTCATCAGAATAAATGGTTGGAACAGGGTTTAGCTCATATTTTAAGGTAACTCGTTTTCCATATTTTAGATACTTTTTTTCAAAATGGTCCAAGCATATAACTGAATGTTTGCTCGGCTTCCAATCTTTTCTGTTAACAAATTTTATCTATTTTTCTTCTAAAACAGTATCTTTAGGAAAACTAAAAACAGTTTTACTTGCACTAAGAAAACTAGATTCATTTTTTTTAGATTTATAGCCAGATTGACAATTAAAAACAGCACATTTGTTCACCATTATATCCAAAACTAAATTTCCAACTTAATATCTCCCAAAAGGCAGTATGAAAAATAACCGAAATGCTAAAAACTGGCCTTCTAATTTTCGGCCTATTTATGCAACATATCCGGCCGTGTATAAAGTAGGCCATGTATGGCATTTGTATGCTAACCATATGCTTACGCTCTCTTTTATGGGATGGCGTTGATGCGTCCCATATGTGGCTACAATGTTCATCCTACTAAAACCACACTAAATAAGAACGAAAGCCACGCTTTATTTGTGCGTGAAAATTTCATGTGGCCCATGTGTGGGAAGCACATGTTGGCCATATATTCACCACTCTCCTTTTTGGGATGGCGTTGGTGCGTTTCATATGTGGCTTTAATGTTTATCCCACTAAAAACGCATGAAGAAGTCATATTTATTTCTTAAGTCTATTATCTGTTGAATTATTAGATCTTATAAGTTTGCCCTATCCGTAACCAAATAAAAACACCAAAAAAACAAATAAGTTCTGACGAATATAAGAAAAACAATTTATTTTTTGTTTGTATGTTTGTTTTAAAATAATCTACAAATTTATTAAAACGCATTACATTAACGTAAAATAGTGGTTAACATTTCTCAGATCTGCTGGAATCAAAAATTATAGGTTGATGTTTTTAAAACATTTTCGCTTGTGGGTTTATAAAATCTTAAAAGCGTATTCATAATTTTAAACTTTTTAAAGATCTATTTATTTAAGAACGAAATTTCAAAGTAACTTGATTAAACTTGTGAAAATGTATTCCGATAGTTCATCATCAAAAAACTAACTTTATGTACCTTAATTAAACCATAAAACTATAATATGCAAAATATGAAAGTTGCAATTCCCGATTCTATTTTGTTAATGTTGCAACTAATTTGGCTTTAGATAAATACTTAACAAACAAAAAGCTCTGATATATATTTTTTTACTTTGAAACCAAAAGTGTTTCTTTTAGGGGTGATTTTTTCCGTATTTTTTCTTAGAACTTATCTTTTTAAAATCTTTTCAAAAAATTTAAATTATTTAGAAAATATAATAGGATAGGTACAATCGGTATAAGCAGAGCAGATTGGCAGAGCAGATCATTGAAATGTTAATAACGGCAGAGCAGATTATTCAATCAGCAGTTTTCGATGTGTGATTTGCCAAATAATTCGACAGATCATATAATAGGATTTTTATAATGTAATTGCCAAATATTTTTATGAAAAACGATGCACTTCGAATAAACTATGAGTTGACTTTTTAAACATAAACGTTTTTTGTTGTCGCAATATTTTCCAAAAAAAAAGTGATCTGACATATTCTAATGTGTGATCTGCCAAATATTTTGGCAGATCTTAATGCAACCGACAGAGCAGATTGGCAGAGCAGATCATTGTAATAATAATAACGGCAGAGCATATTATCACAGACAGACAATCAGCCGTTTTCTATTTTGTGATCTGCAAAATTATATTTTGATAATGCGTGATCTACCAAATAATCTTTGAATAATGTGTGATCAGCCAAATAATATTTGGCAGATTAGAAAATTAGAAACACATTAGAAAAAGGCTGATTGGATAATCTGCTCTGCCGCTATCAACATTACAATGATCTGCTCTGCCAATCTGCTCTGCTCTGCCGATTGTACCTACCCAATATAATACGCCTCAATTAAAAAGTGTGTTTATTTGTTTTCCTGTACTTATTTTTAGTGACGCATTACTATTCAATTTATTTGCGGTTGCGAAAGTTTGCTAACATTGTCCGCTATTTTAAAATATAACGTTGTTTAAGGCCGTTTTCCACAAGACGAAATATTCGCGCGAAGCGAATTTTTTCGCTATGACGAAAACGCTGTTTTAATTTCCACTTACTTTCTTTCGCGCTACTTTTTTTTCGTTGTCAACAATAAAAATGGCAGCAATAAGTTTACGCTGTAAGTTTAAGTAAAGGTCCTAACACACCTAGGTTTTTTTTTTTTTTAAGTATGTTTACACTTTTTCTTTTATATATATATTTATTTTTATCGCTCAAACATACAACAGTTACATTGAAAATTATCAAAACGGTAATATATATATATATATATATATATATATATATATATATATATATATATATATATATATATATATATATATATATATATATATATATATATATATATATATATATATATATATATATATATATATATATATATATATATATATATATATATATATATATTAGGGTGACACAAAATTAGAAAAAAAAAAAAAGCCGCAGTACATTTTCCTGTTCTACCAAACTTCGGAAATCTACAAAAAAAATTTTAGATCCCTAAGTGATCAGGAAGAGCTACATGTAAATTTAAAAATTTTACGTTCTAAGCCTTTTTTTTTTCTTCACATTATTTTATTATTTTCACATCATTCAGCAAGTTTTCAAAACATGTGTCAAAAACTCAAGATGTTTTTAAAACATTTGTGGTCATTCACAACTATTTTTTAAAAACTTTAATTGCACCATAAACTTAGTGGATTGCGTTTAATCACTTGGCAACTTTTGATTTATTAATTATCTTACTTTAAACTTCGATTTTTTTTTTACTGTTTACATATCTGTACAAAATGTTGAAAATCAAAGAGAGGAAAACAAAAGAAATTAGCTATAACGCTCGGAGGTCTGTTTACCTGCTTAACTCGCCTTTAAGCTATCTACCTACAAACCAACTTTTATCAAATAGAAGTGTTCTTCGATATTACTTGCTCCTAACTTCAGCTAGAGATAAGCGATTCAAACCTATTAAAATAAAATTTTCATGTTCTCGAGCACGAGAGGATGTTATATGTAAAGGGAAAGACGAGTTTTGTAATTCAAATACCGAAAAATACTGTTTACTCTGACAAATTGTAAATATTTGGAAGTCTGTTGGTTTCAGTAATTACTTAATTTCTGAGAGAAGTATAGTGGAAAAGTTTAAATCTCTATACAGCAAATACAAAACTTTGTGCAACAGTAAAACCTTTCAAATCAAAAAGCAAATTTCCGAACGCCACAAAAATGACTTTTACAATATGGTAGAGCAATTGTTTGACATCAGTGCGAAGGACTTTGAGATGAAGTTGAGACGCGATGAACCAATGCCTCGTGATACTTCTGCTTTACAAGAGGATTTGGCCTTCTTAGATGATCAAAGGTATTTTTTGCTCAAATTTTTTTGCGAAGATTTAACCTATTTTTCAATTATGATATATCTACTAATTTTTCCCTTATATAAAAAAATCATTTTTTTGAGAAATTTTATTTTTTTATTCAAATTTATCTTACGCTAAGTGTTTTAACAACTTTTTGCACAGAACTAACAGAAATATGATCATATCTTCTAAAATTGACACAGAGCTTGAAGCAAGGTTTCAGAGAAAGATTGATAGATGCAAGAGGAAAGAAGAATATAAAGATCGAGTACAGAAGAGCAACGATTCGATAATTCGTGACAACAAAGAAAAAATTGGGGGAAAAAGGCAATGGAATCACAACTTTTTTCCTAACAATGATATAAATTTCAATTTCGCAAGTGAGGAACCTACAGAACCTAAGAAAACAAGAGCTGAATCACAATTAGGTAATATTTAAGTATAATTTGTTAAACACATAAAAATATTTGTTTCAACTTATGACTAAATAAAAAGAGAGAATATAAACAATTTTTTCTAATAATGCACGGACATGAAGTAAATGTATAGCTAAGCTAAGAATCTTTATTTTAATTTAGATGCTGGAAGTGTAATTGCTAAGTCGGAAGATTTTGTCCCAAATAAAAATGTTAATTTTCACGAAGCAAGCTCAAAAAGTAGGCATCAGTTTAGACCATCATATTTCAGAGTAGAAAAGGAGATAACCAGTGAAGGTCTCATTGCAGCAACAACTTCCACCAGTGTAAGGGCTGGTCTCAGCATTCGAGATCAAACCCTTCTTATTGCAAGCGTAGTAAACTATTTAGGAGGAGATGTTAAACAGCTAAAGTTAAACAGAGAATCTGTCAGAAGGCGACGTTACAGATTTTTAGAAGAGGAAGGAGGCCAGATACATAATGAATATATTAATTTAATGGCTAACAAGATGTTAGTTTTACATTTTGATGGTAAAATTTTAAAGCATATTGGGGAGGAAACTAGACAGGCAACTACTGCAGATAGACTATCAGTATCTGTTACTAGCCCAGTAACCAAAGATGATCTTTTACTCGGTGTTGTGCCAACTGATAGTGGTAAGGGAATCGATATGGCTATAAGTATTATGAATCTCCTAGAATATTTTGAAAATTGTAACTATATTGTAGGATTCTGTTCTGACACCACAGTAAGTAACACTGGATGGAAATCTGGTGCAATAACTATTATGGCAAGATTTCTTGGTAAACCATTTCTTTGGTTATTGTGTAGACACCATATTGCCGAAATAAATATTACTTGGGCTTTAAAGGCAATTTCAATGAAAATGTCTAAAGCCCCTGCGAATAAGTTACTAAAAGATTTTCAGCAGAAATGGATAACAGAATTTTTTCCTAAAGTTTCAGCTAGTGGTGCTGTAGAAAAGTTCAAACGATTTCCTGAGCAAGACCTTATTGTTGGCAGTGATCTCTGCAAACTCTATTTGAAGTCTAAAAAGTTTGTTACTAAAGCACTAGAACATGAAATCTTCCCCAGGTATGTAAAAATAATATAAAATGAATTAGTTTTTTCATAAATATACTTTTTTTTTTAAAGTTATTAAATAAAATTAGGAATATTTTAGGAACGATTACAGGCATCTTGTTGAATACTTGGCGTATTACATGAATGTTAAGTCTGAGAAATTAAATAATTTTCACATCTATCAGCCTGGCGCCTGTCACAATGCAAGATTTATGGCCTATGCAATATATTTTCTAATGCTCGATATGACATCCACAGTCGTTGAATATCTGACTCCTTAAAAAAAAACATATGGTCTCAAGGGTAGCATTTATTGTTGTTATTTATTATGGACCTGCCTTTCTTAACTCAGGCAAAGCAGAGCATGCTGTTCTGAATGATTTTAATGCATTTAAAATTGCTGAAACAATTAAAACAGAATGGGATTATGAAGTTGGAAACTCACTTCAAAAAAGCATGAGTAACCACACATGGTATTTGTCTCCTAAAGTTGTCGTACTATCGTTAGGTGATCCTTATATGAAAGCAGATGCTAAGCGTTTAATCATTCAGAAACTTTTAAAATTTCCAATTCCTGAGTTATCAGAGATATCTGTTACAGCTCATTCTGCTGTTAACGTTACCAGTGATAGTCGATTAGAGGATTTAATTACGAAGGAGAGTTGGCTATTTTTTATACTTACAGTTCACACCGAATCTGTTCGAGAGTGGCATACTTCAAGTGATTTCTTAGCGCTAGATTCATACAAAAATTTTGCTCAGTTAGTTTGCAATCTTAGTGTGACCAACGATTGCGCAGAAAGAAATATTAGTTTAATTGAAAACTTTGTTCACAGTTCCCACAATGAGGATCAGAGACAGAACATTTTTTTGGTAGTCAGAGAGCACAGAAAGCTTATAACAAAAGATATGTCGATTAAGGAACTGGTAAAGCTAAAACCTAGAGTTGAAAAATTATTGTAAAATAATAGCTAACTGTATGAAACTATAAACAGTATTTTTTTTCTTGTAAGATCAAACAAAAGTTTAGATATAAACATATTTTAACCCGTAAAAAATGACATAAAGTTCAGCCAATCCTCAATATTTTAAAAATTACATGTAGCACTTCCAACGAATAAAAATAAGTGATATTTTGTTTATAGACTAACTGAATGTTGTAGAACAGGATAAGCAACTGCGGTTATTGATTTTTGAAAAATTTTATTTTTCGACCCTACTTTGTGTCACCCTAATATATATATATATATATATATATATATATATATATATATATATATATATATATATATATATATATATATATATATATATATATATATATATATATATATATATATATATATATATATATATATATATACATTTTTTCCAGTTAATTAACATATCTTCTTTTTTAATATAAAGAGATTGCTGTGAGCTTCTGTCGAAATGGATATTGTTAAAGAAATACAAATGTTAATGAAAGCATAAAATCCTCCTTTTTCCGCCATTTTTTTTTACAGTATTTTTATATCAAAACAAATGAAAAAGACTGGAAATTTGTATAACTTTTTTTAATACAACAAATATAGTTTTAAAAAAAGTACTTTTGTCATTGTATTTTATTTAGAAGGTTTTTAAAAAGTTTATTGTCAACTTTAATAAATGACTACACGTTTGCTTTAGTCGACATTATCATTATTTCCTATAAGGGGTCGCCCATAAAGGACATCATTCAGAATTTAAATACTAACTAAAGGTAAAAGTTTATTGGCTCCGCATAGAATTTCCTTGAACATAAAGTGCGATAATACTCTAAAAATCTGCGTGCGAGAGCCAACATTCTTTTCTAGCCTTCTTCAAACTTATAGCCATTAGTTAAATTAGCATGACGTCCTTTAAGGATGACCCCTAATAAAATATAAAAGTAATATTATTTACTTAAATATTAATAATATAATTGTTAAAGCAATAATAACATGTAATGTTAAACAGTGTAAAGTAAAAAAAAATATGTTAAGTAATAATAATTGTCTGGTAAATTGAAGTTTTTATTATATTGACGATTCGTAAAAATAAAAAACAATAAAAAGATTAGATCTTTTCCTAATTATACATGATTTAAGATCGGATAAGTTACGATTATGGATTTCCTTAAAGAAATAAAAATTAGCTACGAATCATAATTAAAGTAAAGGTTTGCTTAAGTAATATTTATTTTAAAGGTGAAAAAACAAAATTTTAAAGGTGAAAAAACAAACAATCCGGCCAAAAATTGTAATAAATTTATACAAAAAGAATATAAATGGTTTCAAGGAAATCTTATAACCAATAATAATAGCCATTTTGATTTTGGAAAACCCCATAAAAAATGGGGAGTACTTGGAGAGCAAAGCAAAAGAGAAAAGATAAAAAAAACTTCTAAACATCATGGAGCTGTATCTTTAACATTTGCAAAAACGCAAATGCTGCTGGAGAAAGAAGATTTATTAAAATGCTGCTGGAGAAAGAAGATTTATTAAAATTCTGCTGGAGAAAGAAGATTTATTAAGGCTTTATTATTTTTAGCAATAAAAAAGCTAATGTTTTAAAGATGAAAAAGTTAAAGATGTTTTATCATATAAATGTTCTATATAAAGTTTATAATATAAATGTTCTATATAAAGTTTATAATATAAATGTTCTTTATAAAGTTTATAATATAAATGTTCTATATAAAGTTTATATAGAACATTTATTATGAATTTGAGAGCAATTAATTAAACACTGAACTCAACGATAAACCAAATTGAAAGATCAGAAATGTACATACAGTATATATTTATCCCATAATGCACGATATTTTAGTAGAAAACGAAATGCTGTTCTGAAAAAATATATTTTCCTGAGATAGCTGCCAAGTATACTCATCAAAGCATGTTAAATCACACTGTTAGTAAAATATTTGAAAGTATTGATATACCGAAAAGATAACCAAATACTCGGATTTTTATGTTTAAATGTTGGTTTTATAATATTTATAAACAAAAGTATAACACAACCAACACAATTATAGAATTTAGACATGAAAAAAGATTTTTAACTACAACTTTTATGTCTTTATAGCTCAAAGTAGGAGATGACGAAATATGGAAAAATTAAATTTCTTTAAGTTGCTTTTTTGTAGACATTTGCATCTACAATATAAAAAAAGAGAATCCAACATTATCAAGAAAAGTAAAAGCAAATCTAAAAAATCAAATAACTACCTTAAATACGTTTTGCAGAGTTTTGAACATAGCATTTGAACATTTATAAATAGCTATAGAATTAATTTTACAACGTTTGATAATAAAGTGGTTAACGCACTTACTGACACAAAATCCACTAAATCCTGCAAATTGTACAATGCCAACCCAACAATATGAAAAATATTAATTTAGTACCAGCAAAAGCGGAAAATGAGTCAGCCTCAGTTCTAGGAATTTCAACTTAGGTCTGCTGGATAAAGTGTTTGTAATTTATTTTTCCTTTGAGTTTTAATATGGAAATTAAAAGTATAAGCCAAAAACAATTTAGGAGAAATCTATAATTATCTATAATTATATATTTATCTATAATTGTCTAATTATCTATAATTATATAATTATATATAATTATCTAATTATAAGAAAAAGAGAGGTTCAGTTAAAGTATACGATCGTTAAATTCGGAACGATGAAAAATTCAAAAAAATATATAAAATAATTAGACGAATGAAAAAACTTCAATATTTATTTTAATCTAAGGAATCTGAAAATTATTATTTTAATACTATTCATTATTTAGCGAACATTTACGCTAGTTACATCAACGTCTGCGAACATTTACGCTAGTTACATCAACGTCTGCAAACATTTACGCTAGTTACATCAACGTCTGCGAACATTTACGCTAGTTACATCAACGTCTGCAAACATTTACGCTAGTTAAAGACATCAACGTCTGCATAGTGTCTTTGGCAATTTTTTTTCCAACTAATATCTACTCTCTAACCAAATCTTTAGCTGCACTTATTGTTTTGCCACTCTTACGCAAATATCCTTTGCAATTGTCCAAAATTTCTACTTCTTACAATAAAGATAAGAAGCAAGATCAGGTCAGAACCAACAAGGGACATCGTGACTTCGATAAAATGACAAAAGTCTAGCTTGCAAGCATGATCGTTATTAAAAAATAAAAGTACGCGAATTAGTAATTTTTTTAATTCTGAAAATATTTTCAGAATTAAAAAAATATAATCTTTGGAAATTTTTAGTATGAATACGTTTACAATAGAACAACGAATGAAGATAAGTGAATTTTACTTTGAAAATGGACGGTCAATTATTGCAACGCAAAGATCGTATATGCGCCATTTTAATGTTCGACATCTCCCTATTAGGCCTGCAATAATGAACTTAGTGACGCGTTTTCAAGAGCATGGCTCTGTAAGTGATAGGACTAAAAGTGGACGAGGTTGTTCAGTACGTTCACGTGAAAATACTGAAGCTGCGAGCCGTAGCAATGAACCACATCCACTCAAAGGCGTTCTCAAGAACTTGGCATCTCACGGAGTTCTCTGCAGCGCATTTAAAGAGACTTGCACATGTACCCTTACAAGATTCAATTAGTGCAATCTTTACAGCCACCAGACTTTCAGAAACGACTAAATTATGCTGTCAGGTTTCAGAGAACTGCAAGAAATGACAATGAGTTTATTCAAAAGTTGATCATGGGAGATGAAGCTCATTTACATTTGAACGGGCATGTGAATAAGCAGAATATCAGATTTTGGGGCACCGAAAATCCACACCAAGTTCATGCGAGTCCATTACACCCGGTTAATGTCACAACATAGTGTGGAGCAACATCAGAAAAGGTTATTCTGCCCTTCTTTTTTAAAGATGTAAATGAAAATGCTGTGACTGTAACTGCTGAGAAATATCAAGACATGCTAGCGAATTTTGTTCAACCTCAGTTAGCAAACATGGCAGGGTATTAGTGGAAACAAGATGGAGCAACTGCGCATACCGCTTGAGCCATAATGCAATTGTTAACTGCAATGTTTCAGGATCGGATAATCTCTCTTAAATCCGATTTTGAATGACCTCCACGTTCTCCTGATATGACAGCACCAGACTTTTGACTTTGGGGATATCTTAAAGACAAAGTGTACTCAAATAAGCCCCAAACTATTCAAGATCTTAAGGCAAACATACGACAGGAAATTCTTTCCCTACAACCTCAGATGTTAAGAAGTGTTGTGGAAAATAGCTTAAAAAGAGCTCGACATTGTGAAGACGAGAATGGAGGCTATTTAAGAGACATTATCTTTCGTAAAGTCAGAACTAACTTACAGACTCTAAACTTTGTAATAAAAAAAATAATTAATTAAATACAGTCGTTTAAGAAAAAGTTATTTAATTTTTAAAATGTAAAGTGACTTATGGGCCACCCTGTACTTACCGTACCTATACCATCTTCTATACATAAACTGCTACTACATAGTCTTTCTGTATATTACAAAATAACTTTACCAATTTTGGTATATTTGAAAAATGTACTGGAGAGTTTGAATAAACAGATAAGAAACTCCAGACTTTCAGCACACGGCAAAAATATTGAGAATAAAAACTATGATGAATCAGATGACTACCTTTCAGTAAGATCAAATATCTTACTGAAAGTATCTGATACATATCAATTCATATCAGAAAATATCTGATTCATATCAAATATCTTACAGAAATGTAGTCATCTGATCCAAAGCATATCTTTTAAAAAATATCAGATATATAGAGAAAAAGTTATAATTTGATTGTAATGTAAATAATAAAAAGTATAACAAAATAAAAGTTGTTTTTTTCTATTTATCAAGATCCTTTAAAAACCTTTTCTTAATATTTTCTTTTTTTTAATATCAAGTAGAGGAATGTATCAAAAAAATATGCTTTCACTTGATAATTCTGAAACTTTAACTAAAGTTATTTTTACGCGCGCATAAATGGATTAAAGTGTAGGAGAAAGGCGCCTATGATGGCATACCTAACTTTAAAACTTTATTATTCATTGTCCTGAAGATTAAGAACAAAATTTTTAAAATGTATACATTTTTTGTTACATGTAGAACAATAATAACCCTAGCAGCTTTTATCAGCTTTAGTCTTT